CTGCTACTGAGATAGCTACTGCGGTAGCTGCTGGGGCAAAAGTGCCCTGGGTTACTCGTAAGAGCCGTAGCTGTGGTGACCGTAGACTTGTATGGTGCTGCTGCTTAGAGGGCTTCTTCTCAGGTGCTAGCGAGCACTGTCTGATGCTACTGTCTGATGCTAGCGATCGTGGGCTACTAGCTGTTCTGCTGCGGTAAGGTCACAGCTGGGTTTGGTTAGTTTTCTTACCCAGCCGGGTTTTGTTGATGCTGTTGCCGTTGCTCCGTAGGTGTCTTCTTTTCCGGGGTCCTGCGGTGTCTGTTTGAAGGTGGCAATTTTGCACCAAAAAATTTTCAAAAACAGACTCCAAAGAGAGACTGCTGAACTTGAATTAATATGCAAATTAGATACAATTAACTTAGGTTTGAACAGAGACTGGGAATGGTTGGGTCATTACACTAATTGAATCCATTTCCCCATGTTAAGTCTCCTCACACCTTCTATGGGTCATCTCGATTATCGCTTCAAAAGTTTTTATTTTTGTTTGTTTGTTTGTTTGTTTTCCTCCCGCTGATGATAGATCATCTCAATTGATTGGCCTCTTACAGTTGGTATGCGTACTTCCACCTTTTCATGTTCTCTGTATGTATAAATATCTTCTTGCGGTGTGTTCCAGTCTATGCATCCGATGAAGTGGGCTGTAGCCCATGAAAGCTTATGCTCAAATAAATGTGTTAGTCTCTAAGGTGCCACAAGTACTCCTGCTCTTTTTGTGGATACAGACTAACACGGCTGCTACGCTGGAACACTGTAGACAGATTCCCCAAACCGTCAGAACAGGATTTACCTGATTTTAGTGTTTGGCTGAATGCTAAATACAGCCTTCTGCAACGCATCACTGGAAACGTGCAAAGAGCTGTTGTGATGCCTGTTCCCGATGCTGTTTGCTTTACACTGACAGAGCACTGGAGGAGCTCTGGTTACACAAAATGTGTATCCCAATCATGCTAAAGCTTTCGATGATTAGTCCAGAAAGGCACAATTCTGCCCTGTGCGCACAGTCAGTGCAGGCCTATCACCGTATAAATACCCCTTTAGCAATGCAAACTATGTATTATATCACTTCCGTATTGCGGTAACGTCTAGAGACCAGGCAGGCCAGGCCCCAGAGGGCTGAGGGCTGTACAGAGCGCGTGACAGCTCTGGGCCCAAGCAGCTTACCCGTCGGAGAGGTCTCACGCTGGCCCTCTGCACGGGAGGGAATTTCACCAAGAAGCGAGTGATGTCTGCCAACGTTTGGCAGTAGCCAGATTTCAAGTGTGACTAGTAAAGAGAGTCTGGAAAACCAGGATTGTTGAGTATTTGTTTCCCCTCTGTTACTTCTACAGCCCAGAGAAGTTATGTGACGGGGGCTGCAGGAAGACAGGACCCGACGGACATACCAGAATCACACTGGTTACATAAAACCAAAAGCCGACGATACTGCTCCTCCCAGCTACAAGGGCCGATTTCTGCCCTGGCTCCCAGCCCCCCAAACCCGCTGAAGCTACGTGAGCCTGGAATCTGGCCCTCGGAGAGTGGCAGAGTGCTTCTGAACCCACCTTGAGCAGGCAGAGGTGCCGTTAGACCTGTGAAAGGCGCATACGCAGTCCGGGTTCCTTGGTGCGGTAAAGAAGCCGTCCCGGCTCACTGGCCCTTCTGTTTTCATAGCAATAAACATGGAGAAGAGGGAAGGTGCAGGGACTATTTTCACTTCATCAGAGGATGAGCACACTCCAGCCTGGGACCTGCAATGTGCTGCCAGCCAGGCCTTTCCCCAACCTCTCCCTGCTCAGCTGCACCTCCTTCCCCCAGCGTCTTCAATCTCCCCTGGCCCAGCTGACAGTCTCTGCTCTCCCCACCTGCTCCTTAGATGGGCTGGGGCGGAGGAACCCTGCACGCTGCTAGCAATGGGCATGCTCCGGTTGTGGTCCCCGTGGACTAGCTAGGCTACAAAGGAGGTGCATGAGCATGAACCTTGCAATTTCATACCTTGAGTGATCTGGTATGGACCCCCGACCTGGTCAGTCCCACGGACCACACTGGGCTTGCACCAGGGTGGTCCTAAGGCAGCACAGAATTAGGGTCAAACACCCAGGAGCCAGTGGTGTTTGGAGGAGTCTACCTGGGCCAGGACCCTCCTACATGGCTGGATGAGTCCATCAAAGGCAAGAGATCTGGCCTGAAATTCTGTGCCAGGGCAGGCTGGCTGGGTGGGGTACATGCTCTCAGTACAGACCACAGCTGACCTGGCTACCCCAGAGCGAGCAGGCAGGCAGCCATCTTCTTTTGTCCCTGTCCCCACCCTATTGCAATAAGAACCCCACTTTCCACCTCCATAGGCTGCCCTGCTTGAGTGCTGCAAGGTGGGGCTGGGGATCCTAGCCCCTGGGTGCAGGGCCGGGGCGCTGCTGGAACAAACACAGGAATCGCACACCTCTCTCCCTGATCATTGACCCAGGCCGGTGCTGATGTGAGCAGGGTAAGAATGAGCTGCCTCCACCACAACATCTAGTGACGAACTGGGGGAATAGACTTTAGGAGCTGGCTGTATTTGCATAGACACACCTCCTGTGCCAAAGCGATCCCTTTGGGTTACAAGTCACTTGAGTACCAAGTGCTGGGGTCATGAAATAGTGTTATTCATATTGCATAGGTAAAGGGCAGAAGAACCGTGCGTAATCTGCCCTGAAGGAGAGGTCACCCTACATTGAATGGCACCCACTAAGCAGAGGATACTGTGTGTCCATTGCTAAATGAAAGTCAGAGGGGGGGGGGAGGGGGATGAGTTCCTATTTTGTGGGTGCTGTTTCAGAAACTCCTAGGTAGTATTTAAACCTCTTTCTTTTCCCCAGTGCCTTGTGACGGTGCTGACTAAACTTGATTAAGAGTTCTTGTTTCTCTTCAGTGATTACGAGGCTTCCTGCTGCCACGGATAAGCAGGTTTAGGACCTAAACCTGGTGTGGGGACAGACTTGCAGTGAAAGACAGGGGAGAGGCTGCAGCAGCTGTGAGGTTCCTCCCTGCCCAGTGAAATCATTTAGAGCTGAAATCACCAAGTCGGAGAATCTCGGAACGCAGCATCGCAGTGGCAAGTGGTGGCAGAGGTAACCATAAGTGGTTGTTCCCCCGCCCCTTCAAGGTAGAAGGTGAACCCCTCCCCCCCAGGGGTGGCTCTAGCTTTTTTGCCGCCCCAAGCATGGCAGGCAGGCTGCCTTTGGCGGCTTGCCTGCGGGAGGTCCCCAGTCCCGTGGCTTCGGCATCCCCACCGCCAAATTGCCGCCGAATCCGCGGGACCGGCGGACCTCCCGCAGGCATGCCGCCAAAGGCTGCCTGACTGCCGCCCTCGCAGGGACCAGCACGGCGCCCCCCGCGGCTTGCCACCCCAGGCATGCGCTTGGATCACTGGTGCCTGGAGCCGCCCCTGCCTCCCCTAGAATTCTGGGACTTCACTGACTCTGAATCGCCAGTTGTGAGTGGGGGGCAGCAGAGGGAAAGGGGACCGGTGTCTTAAAGACACAGTTGTCCATTGGATTTTCACACCGCAAGGTGGGAAACTGAGGCAAAGGACACTGCCCAACTTGCTCTGGGGGTGGGGCTGTACTTATGGTTTACATGCTTTTGACTCTTTGTTGCAGTGGTGTTGCAGGGAGTTCCTTCTCCCTTTTAATAACAGTTTTCTCTTGTTCCGCACAGACTCGGTGCTTGTGAGCCTGTGTGTAACTCAAGGGGCAGTATTACCTCTTCAGAGGCCCCCAGGGGCAGTGGTTAGTTACTGGTTGCTGGGTGGGCCTTCAGCCGGTCCTGTTTTGTGTTGTAAAGAGAAACCCCTAGATATTGGACCCGGATCCTGTCCCTGCCAGGGCCGGCTCTGGCTTTTTGGCCGCCCCAAGCAAAAAAAAAGGGGGGCGGCCAGAACGGCAAAGCAAAAAACAACAACAAAAAAACCCTGCGGTGCGGCCGGAGCGCGGGTGCAGGGGAACCGGCAGGGGGAGGGGAGGGGAAAGGAGCAGGCGGGAGAAAGAGGGAAGGGGGCGGCGCGGCCTCTCCCGCTGCGCCGCCTCCTGCCGCCTGCCGCGAGGGCTCCACTCC